TATTTGTTGATGTAATTGAAAAAGTTAATGTATTAGTTTCACAGAATGGGTCATTATTAAGGTCAGAAATTCTAGGAACTATTAAGATTAATTGTAAATTATCTGGAATGCCAGAATTAAGACTTGGACTAAATGAAAAAATTAATATTGGAGATAGAATGGAAAGTAATAAAAATCAAGTACAAAAAAGAGCTGAAATGGATGATGTTAGTTTCCATCAATGTGTTAGATTAAGTAAATTTGATAGTAATAGAATTATTGGATTTGTTCCACCTGATGGAGAATTTGAATTAATGAATTATAGATTAACTTCAAATATTAGACAATTAATTTGGGTTGAATCAGTAATTGATAGAAAGAAGAGAAATAGAATTGAAATCTTAATTAAAGCAAAAAGTTTCTTCAGAGAAGCTATTAATGCTAATAATGTTCAAATTAGAGTTCCTGTTCCATCTGATGTCTTTAATCCACAATTTAGATCATCTATTGGAACTTGTAGTTATGAACCACAAAATGATTGTGCTTTATGGTTTATTAAAGTATTTCCTGGTAATCGTGAATTTATGATGAGAGCATCATTTGAATTACCATCAATAAGAGATGAAGAAACTGATAAAGAAAAGAAACCTGTTCGTGTTAATTTTGAAATACCATATTACACTGTAAGTGGTTTACAAGTAAGATATCTAAAAGTAGTTGAAAAAAGTGGATATCAATCATATCCTTGGGTTCGTTACATGACTTTTGCTGGTGATTATTGTTTTAGAACATAAAAAAAATGAATAGTTATCTAAAACAAATTGAATACTTTTTTATTCATTACTGGGGTATTTAAATAATCCTTTTTTTTTTGTAATTTAAATCTTATTTCATTAATTATGAAAGAATGGAAGTAAGGTTAGATGGAATTAATATGAAATTTGAAAATACCTATAATTATACTATTATATAATTATAGGTATTAATAGAATAGTATCGTTTTTAATTTAATTTATTTGTTAATCTTTGATTTTGTTAGTTGTCATTTTGAATGTTGATGAAATATGGAAATAATTGTATCATTGTTTTATTCATTCTCTTTTTCTTAGTATTATGTAATAAGCATACTTATTCTCTATATTGTAATGACTTATTTAATATATTACAGCTTGTTTTTCAATTCTATTATATAGTATTTATTTTAATTATTCTCTTTTTATTAATTCATTCATCAATGATTTGATTATTTATTACAAAGAGTAATCATAACCCATATTTATTTATGTTGATGGATCTTCAATTATATTATGTCTTAAATCAATTAAATATTGAATTAATGATTAATTTATATTGTTTATGAAATATGACATACATTATTATGTACATAATTAATAAATGGTTTGGTTATAATTTATGGTATATTCTTATTTTATATATTCTATTAATATATTAAAACGATATACAATCACTATTATTTCTAAAGTTTTCTTAATATTTATATTATTTTCATTTTGTATTTAATTCTATTTAATATTGAATGACAATGAAATATAAAATAATAAATTAAAATATCAAGAAATGAATAAAAATATAGTTAGTATAATAGAACATAATATATAATGAAATCAATATCATCAAAATATATAGTATTGAAATTATTTAATTAATCATATTTTTATTTAACATAACCATGTAATATGTTTTGAATTATTTAAATATCAATTTTTCTTTTAATACATTATTTTATCTTTATATTCTATTTATTAATGAATTATATTCACATTAATGATTATATTTGTTATATATTGAATATATTTATCATTATAATTTTTACAAAAAAAAATTAGTCTTAAATATAAGAACAAAAAAATAATATTTGATAAATTTACATAACCTATTGATGTTTTATTATTTAAAATACTTTAACTTATTATCCATGTTATTATCATATTTATCACATAACTTAATCAATAATATGCTTTAGTATTAAGTATTCAATTAAAATCAAAAAAAGAATGAATAATATCAATTTGATTAATGAAATAATTATCAAAAAAATATATTTTAATGTGTCATTCAATGTGATTATGAAGAGTTAACAATTCCATTAACTCAAATAAATTCGCATTTTTATATAAATAAAATAAAAATGAAAGAAATAGAAAATGATAATAAAAATATTAATAAAGTAATATTTACTCAAAATAAATTAATTTTTAAAATGAATTATAAAATGAATATTCTACATTAATGAAGGTTCAAACTGAATAGAAATTTACATTAAATAAAAAGTAAAATTAAAAAAAACCAATAATAAAATAAATAGTTATATTAAAATAAAATATTTGGAAATAAGAAAAATCAAAAATAAATAATATTTGTAAAACTAAAAAAAAGAACAAGAATAAATCAATGTTATTTTTTACTTTATTAATAGCATCTGTCTTTGCTACACATGGTGTTGATATGTCCACTTTAACTTCTGTTTCATCTTTCCAATGTTTCGTAAACAAGGGTTACACTTTTGCTATTCCAAGATGTTGGAGATCAACTGGAAGTTGGGATCCTTACTGTGCTAATAACTGTGCTAATGCCCATGCTGGTGGAATGAGCAGAGTAGATGCTTATTTCTTCCCTTGTTATTCATGTGGTAATGCTGCAGGACAAGTTAATTCTTTCTGGCAAAAAGTTATTTCTAATCAATTAAAAATCACTACTGTTTGGTTTGATATTGAAGGAACATGGTCATCATCTTATGCTGCTAACCAACAATTTTTCATGGAAATGATGAACCAAGCTAGAGCCATTGGTATTGTCCATGGTGTCTATGTCTCTCAACACTACTGGAACTCATTCTTTGGTGGATCATATATTTATCCATATGCTAGTTCAACTCCATTATGGTATCCACACTATGATCATAATCCTTCATTCTCTGACTTCTCTTCATTTGGTGGATGGTCTAATCCAGCTATTAAACAATACCAAGGAACTACCTCCATGTGTTCTGCTTCTGTTGATCTTTCTTATCAACCATAACTCACTTTCTTCTTTATTTCATTTAGTAATTTATTTTAATTAAAACAATGATAAAAACATCAAAGAATTGAATTATTCTAATAATAAAAATTAAAAATGTTTTTAGGTTTTTTAGAATTAATTTTTGTTTTATATATCAATTTAAAAGAAATAAAAATAAAAAATAAAAAACTTCAATAAATTAATTCAAATAAAGGAAATGTCATACGATAGAGCTATTACTGTATTTTCACCAAATGGTCATTTATTCCAAGTAGAATATGCACTTGAGGCTGTAAGTAAAGGATTAGTTTCTGTTGGTGTTAAAGGAAAAGATTGTATTATTTTTGGTGTTGAAAAGAAATCAATTGCCAAATTACAAGACCCAAGAACAGTGAGAAAAATTCAACAAATTGATCAACACATTTATACTACATTTGCTGGACTAACTGCAGATGCACGAGTATTAATTAATAAAGCAAGACTTGAAGCACAAAATTATCGTATGTCAATGGAAGATGCTCCAACTGTTGAATATGTTACAAAAGCAGTTGCTAATTATCAACAAAAATATACTCAGCAAGGTGGAAGTCGTCCATTTGGTATTTCTACTCTTATTGGAGGGTTTGATCCTGATGGAACTCCAAGATTATATCAAACTGATCCAGCTGGAACATGGACAGAATGGAAAGCTCATGTTGTTGGAAGAAATTCAAAAACAGTTGATGAATATTTAGTAAAAGGATATGAAGATAATATGGAAATAGATAAAGCAGTTGTAGTTGTTGTTCGAGCTCTTTTAGAAGTTGTTGAAAGTAAAAATAATATTGATGTTGCTGTTTTTACACGTGATTATAAATTAACAATGTTAAATGATACTAAATTAGCAGAAATTGTTCAACAAATAGAAAGAGATAAGCAAGTTGAAGCAGAAGAAAAGAAACCAATTCTCCAATAAATTTTATTTTTCTTTCTCACGTGCTTTGTTTTATTTTTCAACAATGATTGTTTAATTCTTTTTATCACTTTAACCGATTATAAATAAAAAGAAAAGTACATAATAAAATAAAAAAATTCAATTAGTGATAATACATTTCTAATGACATTCCATCAACTACCTCATATGACTCTAATGAGATATGATCTTGATAAACATTATTTCCTCTTTGAATTTTAATTTTATCAGGTCGAGTACCAGTTTTAGCACCAGCAACAATTTTTAAGTCCATAACAGTGTCATCCTCATGAACTTTTACTCTAAATTTTTTTCCTAATCTATCATTAAGGATAACTTCTATCATTTTACCTTCACCAGTCATTTTTGTTTATATTATTTTAAGATGAAAAGATTTATTTATTTAATATAAAAAAAGATAAAAATAATAAAAAAACAACCACTTCATTTTTAACTCAATTAGCATAATTTAGTAGTAAGTTTACCAGCCTTAATTGGAAGATTAAATCTCTTTGATGCAATAACTGGTTTACAATGTACCATTGGGAATTTAACGTGGTGTCCAACAAATTGATGAAGGACTGGATTCTTAACAGCTTTGTCTCCAACAGTAGTAATACTAATCAATTGAATTTTGTCTTGTCTAGTTCTGTATTGTGATGCAAGATCGTTGTACATTTGTCTAACAGCACCAACTCTAGTAACATCTCTATATTGTTTAGTGATGTTATGAATTCCACCAGCAGAGACATATCTCAAGAAGATTTGATAATTCTTAACAACAGTTGGGTTCTTTTCAAAAATTGGTTGACATTGAAGAAGTTCTGCATTAATCTTCTTGACTTTGTGTTGTTTCTTTAACATCATCCAGAATTTGGATTTAGCAACGACATAGTTTGGAGCAAAAACTCTTGATCTGAAGATTTCATTTGGGTTGTGAGCTTTATCAGTACATCTGGCGGTGATATAGTATTCCTTCATTGCAAATCAACCAACAATATATTTTAGGGTTGATTTATTGAGATCAACCCGAAGGGTTATTTTTCTAACTTATTAACTACCTTTCTTTAGTTTTTTCAATACCATTAATTTTTTATTTTTGTTTATTTTTGTGTTTTTTATTTTACGTCTTTCCTTTTTTTTAGATTTATTAGTTGTTTATATTAAATGCAGTGGGTCATCCCTAAAGCTCAACTTGATACTCTCTTGCGTCAATATGGATCACCACAAGTTGAGTATAAGAAAAGAAGGGAATATTGCCAAAAAATTAGAGCAATTGGTAAAGAATTAAATTTGTTTGTTGAATTAACATTAAAAAGAATAATTAGAAAAATATGATTAATGAATAATAGAAGTAGTAAAATAAGTGCATTGTCTCAAATTATATTTATGCGTTATTTTCTTTATAATTCATTGAATAGTTGTGATCCATTGTATGTACTTTCTGCATCAATCTTTTTATCAATGAAATTAGAAGATTGTAGAACAAAAGGAATTGATGAATTAAAAAAATGTTGTTGTGATCAATTCAAAGAGATAAAACGAATTGAAGAAAGTGAATTATTATTATATGAACGTAAGGTACTTGTTGGTATTAATTTTGAATTAAATATTGAAACTCCACACTTATATTTAAATAAATTAACTAATGGATTTTCAATAGAAACAAATTTAAAATTAGATGCATGGGCATTTACAAATGATTTATGTTGTACACATGTTGTACTTACACATACACCATTTTGTATTGCATTGTTATCATTATGTTTTTCTTCAAAACAACATAAATTTGATTTAAGTTATGATTGTGATATGATTCGATCTCAATGCCAAAAATTATCATTGAAATGTCCTGAAGAAACTCTGAGCAGGACTGGAAAAATTCATTTATTAGAATTTTTTGCTATTAAAGCTGAGTATGTTCAAGAAGCAATGTCAGCTTTAACTCAATTCTATAATCCTTAATGCTGTACTTCTTTTTCTTACTTAATTTTTCTCTTTTTTCTAGTCATAAAAATAATGTAATATAACAAGGTAATTGCAATAATTCACAAATAAAACCCTACAACAACATCAAATCAAAGAAGATAGAAGAATGATATTTTTGTAATTTTTTTATTTCATCTTAATTATCATCAAATGAGTTTCGACTCTAGTTCTTCTTCATGGTATAGTCAAAATAGGAATTTAAGAAATAGGACATCTACATCAAGTCGTTCAAGAAGTAGAGATAGAAGTAGATATTCTGGGATGAGTGAAAGTGATAGTCAATTTCAAAATGATGATATTATGAGGTTACAAGAAAAAATTCAGGGAATGTCTATGAGAAGAAGTAATCCAATCTCACAAAAGATTCGTGTTTCAAGAGAGAATCTTCCTGCTTTTCAACACCGACAAGAAATCATTGAAAAAATCAGACAAAATCAAGTTGTTATTATTTCAGGAGATACTGGTTGTGGTAAATCAACTCAAGTTACACAATATATTTTTGAAGATGCTAGAGCAAATGGTGAACATGTTAAAATTGCATGTACTCAACCTAGAAGAATTGCTGCTACTAGTCTTGCTGAACGAGTTTCAGAAGAAGTAGGATGTTCATTAGGAACAGCTGTTGGGTATCAAATTGGGATGGAAAAACAAGCAGATAGTAACACAAATATAATTTATTTAACTCCAGGAGTATTACTTCAACAACTAATGAGAAGAGAAGGAAGAAGAATGTATACACATATTATTATTGATGAAGCACATGAAAGAGATCTTGACACTGAATTTTGTTTAATGTTATTAAGAAAATTTCTTTCAAAAACAACTGTGAGACTAATTATTATGTCAGCAATGATGGATGTTGAAAAAATTCAAAACCATTTTATGTTAATTCCAGAAACAGGATATCAAATGCAACTTCAATACTTATTATGTGATTTTAAAGAACAAAAAGAGTTTGAAAGAATTGATATTACAAGATTATCTAAACCACCATTACTTCATATTGGTGGTAAAAGATTTCCTGTAGAAGAATTTTATATTGAAGATGTATTAAAATTAGTTAAAAAAACTTTTGAAGAAATTTATCCATTTCAACAAAAAGAGAATATTTTCTCTACATTATATCCTGAACTTGATTCAAGAACTCTTGGATTAGGAGTTGATCTTATTCAGTACATTATTAGAAATGAAACTGCACCAATTTGTATTTTAGTTTTTCTTCCTGGAATGGCTGAGATTGAAGAAATGAAAAGCAGGTTAGAGTGTTGTTCTTATAGAGGAGAAATTCCTTGTAACTTTATTAAATTACATTCGACTGTTTCAATGACAGAACAAAGATCCATTTTTATAGAATCAAATGCTCATAAAATTATTTTGTCTTCAAATATTGCTGAAAGTTCAATTACTGTTCCTGGAGTTAAAGTAGTTATTAATTTTGGGATGGAAAAGTCAATGCAATTTGATACAGCAATGAATATTGAAGCACTTAAATTAACATGGATTTCTAGTGCAAGTGAAACACAAAGAGTTGGTAGAGCAGGAAGACTTTCATCAGGTAAATGTTATCATATGTATCCAAGAACATTTGCAAGAGAACTTGGACGATATTCAGAACCAGAAATTCAAAGATCACCATTAGAAAAGATAATGTTAATGATTTTAGAAATGAAAGAAGGAAGAGAATTACTTGATTATGGCATTCAACCACCTTCAGACTCTAATATTGAAAGATCAATAGATAATTTAATTATTGGAGGATTTGTTGTAAAAGAAAATCGTATTGATAATGCAATTACTATTGCACCATTAGGAAGATTTGCAGTTAAATTACCATTAGACTATAGAGTTGCTAAATTAGTATTTTTTGGATTATATTTTGGAGTATTTACTGAAACTGCAAGAATTGCTGCATTATTTGGAATAAATCAAACATTAAGAAGAGAAACATCAGAAATGCTTCAGAAAAAGATGGTTATTGATAAATTATATAGTGATATTATTACTTCTTTATTAATTGATGATAGTAATAGAAGAGAAGTAACAAATATTGTTAATGAAATTACAAGAAGACTTTTTATTGATGTTAGAGATAAGAAGTTATATGATAGGTATAATGTTAAAAATAAAGAAGGGGAATATGCTATTCATCTTGCATTATATGCTGCATTTTATCCAAATTATTTTACTACCGAATGTTTAGATGGTAAATTATTAGAAGCAGTTAATAGAGGATGTTCTTCCCATGAACGAGTTGGAGAAGTAGAAATGAATCCATGGTATACTATTGCATTTAAAGGAGTACCTGATAGTGTTACTAACCAACAATTTTTAGAACAACTTGGAACATATTTTTTTAAAGTATTTGGGAATGTTTCAGTAATTAAATATATAAAGAAAACTGATAGATTTAGATTAGTTGAATTTTATGAATTTAGGGATGAAATAAAAAAAGAGATTTATCCATGGGGAACAAGAATGAGATATCTTTATATAGCATTAGAATGGTTGTCTCAATGTTCATTTTATTGTAAAGAAAAAGTTAAAGGACCTAATGGAATTGAAGAAGATGTTACTGTTAGGTGTTATGCTTATCACCCATATTCTGTTTCATTAGTAAATTATTTTACACGACAAATTGCTCGAATAGAAGGAGGAAGTTGTTTAGCACCTTTATTAATGAAACAAGAATTAAGGGTTGGAGGAGGACATGAAGAGTATTATCCTGTTGATCCTAATTATTGTATTGTAACAGGACTAATTGGTGAAAGTAATTCAGGAATGACAATGTGTAGAAAAGTATCACTCTTTCCAAATAAAATTGGTAAACAACATTTACCAATATTAGCAATGATTTTTTCACCTACTCCAGTATTACCATTTTATAATAAAAATTATACTAAACTTCGTTCAATATTATTTGCACATTCAAGAAGAAGTGTTAAAGTAGAAGTTTATCTTGATGAAACTACTTTGATTGCTATTAATCGCATTCGAAATGATATTAAGAATTTTGCTGACTCATTTGAAATTCAAAGAGGAGAATATTTAAGACCTTGTGAAGTAATGCAAGTTTTTAAAGAATTATTAGAGAAAACATACTATCCAATGAAAGGTAGGGAAATACAACCTGATGAAGATGAAATTAAATTTGTTGAACGAAACCAAACACTAACTTATCTTTATGCAGACCATCCTTTCCACAAAATGAAACCTCTTAGTGTTGAAAAAGATCTTGAGTTAAGTGAAGACGATGAGGCACAAGATGCATCAACAAAAATTGATGAATATTTATATAAAGAGAAATTAGCAAAAGGATGGTACCCTGAAAAAAGACTAGTTTGTGGTTTATGTCAATCAGTTATTTGTTATTTAAAAAATGTAAAACCACCTAGTTCGAATTTACCTAAAAATGTTATTGGTGTAATGACATGTACTTTTGGATTATTAAAAACACAAAACGATCCAAGAATTGGTTGTTGTATGAAAGGACATCCTTGTTGCAAAAGAATTGATGGACAATATGTTCTTACTGAAGATTCTAAATGTATATTAGTTGATGATCAAGGAATTTCAAAACCTTGGATTCCAGAAACTTATGAAAATTTCTTTGCAAATATAGGAGGAATTTATACACAAGTTCCACCTGTTACACCTGGAGAGTCATTAACAGATTATGATTGTCCTTTATGTGAAACAAAATGTAGAACTAAAGATGAATTCCTTAAACATATTCCAACAACAACTCATAGAATGGCTGAGACTTACTATCGAAATATTTATATGAGAAACAAATAATTTCATTTTTTTTTTTTGGGTGTATTTATTATTTTATTGAAACACAATAAAATCTTTTGCTGACATTAATCATTCATAGTTCATTTATTTTAACATATAACCTACTTTTGGGAATATTTCTACTGTATAATTGGAGTTGTATTAATGATTTTCTTATTTGTTTATCTATCTTCTCCAATTCTCCTAGTTTATATTTGACAATACTAAATCCATATCTTAATTTAGAGATTATATCACTATTAATCTTTCTTATTGTATTGAGGCTGCTATATTTCATAGTATTTAATGATGATAAAATAGAAGACACAACATTTAATATTCTTGTACAATATTTATTAATATTTACTTTATCTCCTATTTCAATACCAAGATATTTATAAGGATTATCATTAGTTACTCTTGGTAGTTCAGCTAATTCACCATTTATTTGACTATTAATATTAGTCATTATCCCACTCTTTTCTACATTAATTTTTAATCCTATTGCATTAAATATTTCTTTAGTTAATTTGTTGGCTTTTTCCATTTCATCGAGGCTATTAGTTATTATCTTTAAATCGTCCATATATAATATATGATTTAACTGGACTTGTTTTTCTTCTTCATTCATTTTAATATTTAATTTGTTTATTTGTTTATCTAATTGTTTAGATAATATATCAATAGATAATACAAATAAAAGTGGAGATAAACTTATCACCTTGTATTATTCCTCTTTCTACATTAATTATACCTACACTTTCTTGATTATAATATAAATTAAGTTGTGTATTATTTAATATATATAATATACTATTATTAATTACTGCTAGTAGGATATTGAAATATATTAAACAATGTTTAATCCATTGGTGGTTAATGCTGTCATGTGCTTTAGAAATATCATAATATGTTTCTACTAACTTCAATTTAGCCTTTATTAATAATTGATTGATTATAGTGATGTATAATAATCATTCTTTTGATGCATATGTATATTTTTATATCCAATTTGATTTAATGAAAGTTGTTTTTCAATTGGATTT